TGATGCAGGATGTTTTGTGGCGCATTAATGAACGATGCAAAAGGAAAATTTAATAATGCAAGCAAATTTTTTGGCACGGTTATGAATAGCGAATGCATTACTTCAGTTTGAAACTCTATAACGTAATTTAACCTGAATAAAAAAAGAAAACAAGAGTTGTGAATTAACAAGTTTCGTGGTTTGGGATATATTTAACCATGCACGCATTTTTTTACGAAAGTAATAAGCAGACGCATGTATAACCAGCAACACTTCCTTTGAGCCTAAATTCGATAATTCACGAAGGGTTTCACAAAAAATGATATTCGCGAAAATTAAATACACGGGATTCATCAATTTTCCAAGAGAAGGATGCACATTTTACACGAATCTTTCTCAACGTCATCTACGTGGGATTAAGCGGTAAATATGTTATGCATAATTTTGTTGGCTTGCGCGCACACACACATATACACACATTCAATCACCATTCCTTAGTTATCGCGCTTTTTTTTTTACTTGGTCATATAGACGCACCGTGATTATTATACATGTAATAATATAATCCATTGTTTTAATTTTTGTCGCCCAAATGAAAAAACGAGCCATTCATAAAAAATTATATCGTAATATTATTATCTCACACACTAGAAAATGTGCACGCGCTTTTGTAAATAGCCAAAAGTGCGGGGTAAGAAGAAAATGATGCAACAACATTAATAATGGGAAAAAAAATCAAGATTGAAAACTTGTTTGGGTTTAAGAAAAGTTTCACAAATTTTTTCTTTTTTTCTTTTGCAGTGTTACGACTAACGACTAAAACGTTTTGATAACATAATGATATTGTATTTCCGGGGTGAGGGAAAAAAGGGACTGGTGATGTTAGGAGAGGGTGTTAAAGGGTACGCGAACGAAAGTGTCGGTAATCTCAGGAATTCATTAAACAAATATTTCCATATCCCCTTTTTGAGAATTCAAATATTCGGTTTTTTGATAGGATTTTTTGGTGAAATTAGCCTAAGAACAATGGAAACAATTGTTTTTTTGTGACTCTTAACTAATAAAAATAAAATTCGGCCGGAATTCCGTGGAGTGTGTATGTGTATATGCATAGAGAATTGCATTCAGTCTATGATGTAATAAATAAAGATGTTTCTTATTATTACTTGTTTCACAAAAAGCAAGAGACCAATCTTATAAATTCTCACGTACAATAAGGAAATTTACATGTGTACTACGCATGACACGTACACAGAAAAAAAAGGCTTTCGAGTATCACTACACACATAATCTCCCTTAAATTTTAAGTCTATTAATATAACGCTGACGTGTGTACTGTTGAAAGATGTGTCTCTAATGTATATTTCTTTAATGGGAAATTTTTACTTATTTTAGAAATTGTGGTAATTTAGAGTTTGTTTCACTATATCACCTGTTTCATTACCCCACACTACCTATGCCACCTGTTTTTTACATGGGCTCTGTGACATTTCTTAAAAATCACGCGTTTTTTCCATATAATTATGATGGAAGAAACTTTTGCGGGACATTGTTTTACAACGTGAGAAGAATTTACATATTTGATTTTTTTTTGGCTCATTTATTCTTTATACGGTTAATACGGGAATTTTTATGTTAAGGGTTTATCTACTCCCGACAATGATGATTATGATGATTTGTATGTGGTCAATGCTTTGCTGAAATTAAAAAAATAGGGGGGATTTTCCTTATCATTATTTAATGTTGGCTCGGGACTTTAACGGATCCATTTATTCAATTCCAATCGTCACGTGTAAATTTATCTTATCAAATGATCTCGGTAACGATAAATATTTGATTATGGCTAACCAACTCAAGCTTTTTAGAGCAAAGATAACGATTAGAATGAAACTCTCTAAAACGACTATTGCTCAACAACTATACACTAAAAGCAAAGAAGCAGGAAAGCAGAAAACTCATTCTTCTTCTCTCTTAGATATTGCTGAAAAGATACATACTGAAAATAAGAGAAAACCGCCAGTCTTAAACACAACCTCTATCAATAAAAATAATATCATTCAATCAAGGAAAATGATGAACCATCAAATAATTATTATCTTGGTTTTATAATCACCATTTATGGAAATTTATTAATTATTTTCTGTAATAATAGATTAACAACGACTATAATGGATTTAAGCAAAACTAATAGCGATAATGATTATGATGACACTGATCTTGTTCCCCTTGCCAATTTATTTGATACAATTGAAGAGAATGCCGTTAACGAAAAGAAATCGCAAAAGAGAAGAAGAAAAGAAAAAATAAAAACGAAGGATATTGATTTCACTACTGGTGCAACTATCACTGATAAAAGTGATAAAGATGGTTTGGAATCAAAACTTAAGTCAGAGAAAAAGAAAAAGGTTTCTTTCATTTTTTTTTTTTACTCTCAAATTAAATTCTACGCTATTATTAATATTTATTATTGTTATCAGCCAAACTTTTTCCTCTCAATTCGTCTTGAATCACCAGAGTTACAAGAGAATTTTAAAAAGTTTGTGCAGTATGTCAAAGAAAAAGATCCGGATTTTGCGAAATTAGCGATAAATCCTCCACAGGTTATTACTTAATAATTCTCTTTCAATACCAAAGCACATCTTGGCTAAATTTCGTTTGATGGTGATAAATGAACAGATCCATGTTACTTTGTTTGTTATGCACTTGGGCGACAAGGAAAAGATCGAAGAAGCACGTCAATGTTTGTTGCAGAATAAAGAGGTTAGTTTGTAATATTATTGAAGAATGATTTTAAATTGACTTTATATTTATTTCCGTGAAATAAAAAAGCTATTAGATGAATTCTTTCCCGAAGGAGGACCATTATTGCATTTTTTCGGGATAGGTGATGAATGCAGTAAAAAATTTATTTTTGGCACTTTGATGATTGGGAAAGTTTTATGATAATATTAATTTTACAACAGACACCTTTGAAAATGGCCGAGTAGTATTCACCACTCCAAAACAAACTCACGACCTGACCGAATTCTGTAAACTAGCACATGCACTATTTGATAGATTTGGCGCGGCAGAACTTTTGCCCGACCAAACTAAAGAAGATTTCGAAGCAGAGTTCAAACCTCACGCTACGCTAATGAAAGTTTCCGGAAAAAGATTATTTATTTCAAGAAAGAAATTGTTAAAGAAAATGCGAACTATTGAAAGTGAAGATCAAAATGTTTCTGTTGTAGATGAAGCAGAGGAGGTAGACGAGGAAGATGAAGAAGAAATAGTTTTTGGTCCGGGATTTAATTTATTGTTTAATGATGTACAAGAAGAGACGGGTCAAGCGTCGCGAAATGTAACAGAGGATCAAAATGATAAGAATGAAGAAGAGGCAAAAGAATCAACAACTAATATAGAAGAATTGACCGATGATTATAAGACCAGCAATACATCTTTATTAGCTGAGAAAAATGAAGTTTCAGTAGAAGAATCGTCTGCAAATTCAAACGGGGAAACAGTCGTCATGATGGATGAAAATCAAGACATGGTGAATACAGCAAGAGAACCCACAGAGGATAACTATGAAGAATTTGCAAGATTGGCACATGATGATTTTTCATCATCAACATCTGGTTTGAGAAGAGACATGAGGATCTCGAAAAGAGAGCTAAAGAAAAGGAAAAAAGCCGAAAAACTTGAACGTTTACTTGAGACAACAGCAACAGCAAAATCCACAAACAAAGGAAAAAACAAGAAACGAAAAAGAAGTGAAAGAGTTAAACGAGTTCCTATTGAACTGTATAGGGCATTCAGAGGTAATAATTATCATAATGAAAAATAATAACATATTATATAGCTCAATCATTAAATTATTATTTCGATAAAATTTAAGATTTCGATTTCGGCGCTCAGATTATAAAAAGTGTAGATCTATGTTCAATGCTGCAACCGAAAGCGGAAGATGGATACTACGCTGTCGTTGAAAGCATTGAATTTCGAGAGAGAACAGCTTAAGATGCGTTATCAACACTTTTACAACAACAACCAAATGAATAATATAAATATTGATATACGCGTTTTAACTAAATAAGACGCGTCCTTTGACTATTGGTGGGAACTTTTTTTTATATACGGACAAATTGTAAAAGTATAACAATATAACAATATTAACAAGTTCACATTTGACAATATCATTTATCTTGATAATTAGTAGTAGGCACTATCTTATTCTAGCTGTGATTGAAGTTGATTTAATACATGTTATTAATAAATGGGCCTTTCGATGAAGGAAAGAAGTTTACATGTAGTGCGCTGTTGTACATATATAAATGGAAGAAGAACACGTTTCTCGTTATCATGGTTTATCCAAGCATCACCGCGTTTTTCTTTCTCTCGTTTCTCTCGACTCTCACGCATAAATGCATACACACCGTACACAAACTTTATTTTCTTTGTTATAGAATAACCCGTTTTATTGGTAAATGTTGATAACATTGATTGCGAATTAATTAATAGAAAATTATTGTACACATGTCTGGGTATATTAAGGGCGTAATGTACAATAAGCTTTTTCGGTTACGGATTTTTTTTTTTGCTGTGATCTTTGAATAATAATAGTAAATGATAGTGTATTATCGTTCATTTTATTCATCCACTCACCATCGATAAGTAAAAAAAAAGTTACAAATCATCATGTAGTTACGTGTACCCATGCGTACCCGCGCGTATTAATTAAAATTTGTAATTGTATGTCTTTAATATACAGTGATAAATGAGGAAAATCAAATATGTAACGTTCACGCATTCCGGACGATACACAGAGAACACAGATTAAATTTGTGTACATAGAAAACTCTAGAGAGAAAAAAATGGTTTCCTTGTACTCAATTTTCAACCCATTCTAATTAAAGCCATTTTTCTTAGCATATAATCACATGACACACGAATAATGACGCGGATTATTTTTCTTTGATGGTGCAATTTTATTTTTTATGAGCGTATATATTTATTGGTATGAAGAATGTTATTGTGTGTATATATATATTCCGGAGAAAGGGGTTATATGCAAATAAGACAAAAAATGAAATGATCAAAAGATAAATATATTACAAGAAGTTTGATGAGCATAAAGGAGAATCTTTTCTTGCCAATCGATGACAAGAAACGTTTTTATACTATTGTATCTAACAACAATACATGAAATGAATAATGTAAAAAAATGATGATTTATATTTTGTAGAGAAATTAGAATTTTTAAAAAAAACAAAAGAAAATTGTTTAATTAGTGATTATAATAAAAAGTATTCTAACTCTACGTTTATGTGTATAGATGGTGCGAAGGAATGAGATTTTTCTCATTTATGTGTATAGATGGTGTGGAGGAATGAGATTTTCTCGTCTAAGTAATAGTAGTCTATTTTTAATAATGTTTATTTTTGATCGGGGTTGAATGGAATTATTTAACACGGAAAAAGAGTGTGATATAAAAGATGTACAAATGTATATCGTTATGTATATATTAACAAAGAATGAATATTTATATATAGATTAACTTCCCGCCACTACAGCTCTTTGTTCCATAGGTGGAATATCACCTCCGGTTCCGTAATATGCAGTTATTTGTCGAATCATGTTTTGATCCAACGAACTACTACGTCTCACACGACCAATTCTTCTTTGAATGTAAGAAGTATTATTTGAAGTGGAATTATTATCGTTGTGGCTGTGGCTGTTACTATTATAATTTTGATTGCTGCTGTTGTTGGTAGTGGTAGAGGGGGGAGGCGGAACAGCTATTGGAATTGTAGCTGGTGACGATAGAGGTGGGGGACATTTTTTTATATCCTTGAAATTCGAAGATGGAGGTTGAAGTAGCATTGCAGTCACCTCACCAGAAAGTGTTGAATTTGGTCCGGCAGATTTCCGACGCGTCGGTTTTTTAGAGTCATCGTCCAGATCATCTACTGAACCATCATTCTGTAGATGACTATTATTACTATTACCCGATGTTAATAACGATCTGCCGGAAAGACTTCGTTTCAGTTTACGATATCTTTGAGGGCGCGGTAAATTACGCATTTTATCTTGTATATCATCTGGAATAATTAATAGCCCAGCAGCCAAACTAACACGACGAGCGTTATTTGCTGCTTTGGTTGATAGCAGTTTTCCGTCGGCAATAGTTTTTGTTTCTGGTTGAGGTTCTTTTGACAATGCATCCCAATAGACCCGATTATCTTTGAGAATATTCAAGAAAATAGTTGCTGGTTGCAAGAACGCAGCAAACGCTTCGAAAAAGGGTTTTACTACAAAATCACCAAATCCCAAACTAATTTGAGATTGGTGTGCTTGTTTACGATCCATATTTGGTGAAACTGGCAAATTGTTCTTCTTTTCAAGATCTCCTTGCAAAAAGAACTCTTCAACTACCATATCTGACCATCGTTTTGATATTTCCCAAGGTCGGACGGTGTTGCTCAGATCTGCCGCGTGTAATAATACTTTACACCAAAGTTCACGTTGTTCAGCATCGAGAGTAACTATTATCGAACTTCTCGTGCTATTATTATCTGAATCGTATAGCGTGTTACTACTTTGACCCGGATGTGATATTGATATTGGTGAGGTTGCAGGTGATGAAGCAGCCGAGGACATTGGCGAATTTGGATAACTTTCGCTTTCGTCTCCCGAGTTTTCTGGGGAACATGATGGTGACCATGTTTGTTCAATCATTGTGTTGAGATTTTCCATGAGATCGTAGTGAAAAATCATGTCAGTCGCCAGGATTGTTTTCGTTATTAGGCTTCTTAAAGATTCATCGACTTGCTCTGGTGACATATCAAAATACTCTGTCTGACATGTATGTACATTCCGTAGTAGTTTGTGTTTTGTAAGGATATTCATCGTAAGTGTACATGAATGATTTTCCAAGACTGATTGATCTTTGTATCGAATTGCTAATTCGGTTTTAGCGTTTACTTGATATACGTTATTTAAACCAGGCTAATGAAAACAAAAATTTTAAAGAAAGAATCTTAGTTTTATTCATCACAAATTCCAAAAGTGATTAAAATGTTAAGTTAAAAGATACTTACATGACCAATATCGTGGCATAACCCAGCTATTAACAATGCAATACAATCTAAGGAGGTGAGAAACTTTCCGGCTCCCAATTCCGTCAACATGTAATATAATACAGCTACAACATCTACTGCGTGATAGAAGGAGTGATATGATGTGTCTAAATATCCTTGGTCAACTTCGATTATAAAGTCAAGTATTTCTGAGGTTGTGATATTGAGGGTTCCTCGTAAATTTAGTTTTACAAACATTCCTACCAAGATGCCATATAATTCTGGTATTGACCAGTCCCACACTTTAAAGTCCATTCCGGTATTTGATAATTTACCATCGATGAATTTAAGCATCGTCTATTTTATATTTGGTGATAAAAGTGAAGAAGGTTATTAAGGCTTATTTGTAATTGTTATCCGCTTGTCTCGTCTAAAGACCCAAAAACTTACCGATTCAATGGTTATGAGATGGTCCGAAGAAAGTTTATTGTGTTTTAGTACCAACATTTTGTTTGTGTATTTGTGTGTATCGAGATTGATTTGCGTTTTGTTTTAGAAGAAAAGCTATGTACAGCGAAGTTTCAGCAGTTGTGTGATATTGAGTTGTGAGGTAAGAATGAGAGTTTTATATGTTTTTATTATCGAAACTCTCTAATGATATATGCGTTAGATTAATATATAATGTATCATATATTTACACGTTTTTCTCTATGGAAAAATAGTTATATTGTGTGGGGGTATTTATATATATGATTTTATTGGTAGTTTTTTTGTTTCTTTGTTTTATCAATAAATTATGATTATAGAAGAGGTACTTCGTTGTCCTTTTTATATTTTTTAGTAATATACGAAGTATGATAGTAGCAATTAATGTTAAGAAAGAAGGAAAAGTTTAGTGTCAATGTGCAGGTATATATATAGTGATATCGCATTGACATACGGAGATTACTTTTTACTTGATGTATTTATACTATTTGAATGATATAAATTATATATATATATATATATACTCTGATGATGATTATATTACAAATGATGATAGATCTGCAGAAGATTTATTTATTTAATTTATTTATTTAATTTATTTATTTGAATTTATATTATTTATATTACATATTAAAGTAAGAGTAAAGTAAAAAATTTTATTTTTTATATTCGACAAAGAAAACACATCCTTACTATTGTGGTTAGGGTTGGCGTTATTTTGTGTTCGAATAAAGAATGTCCCCCATTTTTTCGCAGTTTCTTATTTTATATTGGTTACTTTGATACCCATCACCCGGAAATTTTGTGAGATTGAAATGAAAATAAACCCCACTCTCCCTTTTTATACCATAAAGCGTAAAATGGACCATTTTTTTTACATGTTTCTTTTATTCTTTGCAGAATAAAAACAAATAAATAAAAAAAAGGGCTTTAATAAAGCATAACATAAATAAAGCGTAAACCATTGATAATTGATGGTACAAATCGCTTTTTGCCATGCCAACACAATCCACGAAAATTTTGTTATTATTCTTTACGAAGCATGATCACGAAAAAAAAGTTGTCGAGTAATTCTCTTGAAAATGTATCCCTCTTCTTGTGTTCTGTATCTTTGTACATTGATATGTGTTTTTATTTATTCTACAGCATGTAAAGTTATGTATAATTCAAATGAAAAAAAAAATAAGTCAAGGATCACGAATTAAGTAAACAAGAAATAAACTAGCTAATAATTTCATCATCATCGTTACTATCATCGTCATCATCCTTTCTATAACGATAATTATTACTTTGATTTATTATATTATATTTTATATTTATTATATTATTAAAATAAAAAAAACCTTTCAAAGTGAAACGGTTCACAAAAAATTTCGAGACAAAGAACTTTTTTTCGCATTGCTGGTGGGTTTGTTGTTTGGCCACATGGATTACGAGGTTGACGTTTATTATGCTGATTATGGCAAAATTAAGCGTCAAAATATTTACTTAATTATAAAAATAAGGAAATGAACGATTGGTGTTGCATATTAATGGATAGCGAGAACGAAAATCCTTCCTATAGATGACATAAATGATTGACTGGGGGTGGCATTCCCATATATCTCAAGTAAAGTTAGATAATTTCTTTCCAGGTGATAATCAAAAGTTCTGCCTTCTCTTTGTTCTAACCTAATACTTACTACCTTCTTTGGGATAATCACCGAGAAATGGTTACTGGGCAGACTACAAGCAAACAACTAATCAAAAAAGTACGCCTCGTTTGTTTATCTGTAAACAAAAAAACCGCATAAAAAATCGGTTTCTGGAAAAAATAAGAGACTTTTCAGATTGCCAATCATAATATTTCTGTTCTTCGGGGAAAGATTATACTTGATCTAATTTTGAATGTTAGATAAATAACGCACATCATCATTCCCTGATAACAAGTAAGATTTTTAAACGTTTAGCAAAGAAAAGAGTGGAAAGAGAAAGAAAAAATTGATCAAGTATTAATATAATCCAAGAAGGGATAAACTCGTTCAACTTCTCATGCATGCAAGTGTGATGTTATTGGTAAAAGTTCCCATGAATTTAATTTAATTTAATTTAATTTATATATATATGTGGCTTATCATCAAAAAAGCACGTTTGGTGGCAAATAAAAAACAGAAAAACGTGGCTTAGTGACCAGAAAAACGTTGCTCATTTTGCATGAATGTTTTTTTACCAAATAAGTACAATATAAAAATAATTATATGAAAACTTGAAGGATGGGGAGTTCAAGAAAGTGGGGAAAACGTCAAGGAATATTTAGCTTAGATGAATTAATATTATTTTCCTTTTTTTGATAATTCATCGTATAATGATGAACGATATATTGTAAACGTATGAATGTATTGAATAAATCTAATTGAATGAAGAACAAAGACCAATTGATTTTGATTATATTTTATCAACGAGAGACGAATAAAACGAATAATAACAATCGATCCATGATGATATGACGCAGCTATGACGCACATATATTTGAAAATAGTAAATATAATACGACAAAATGGTGTCAAAACGGTATCTTTTGTAACGAATTTTTCAATTCCTATCCATAATCGCATAATCCCGTATAATGCCCAATTTTTTTGATCACTTTTTTTTAACGGTTTGTTGTAAATAACGATTTTTTTTACGCCTTATGCATGTATTTGGCGTAATGCATATTGTATGAATAATAATAACTATAGTGTCTTTCACGCCAACTTTACAACCCAGCGAATTATGTAATAAATTAATTATTGATAACGCAAATAAAAATAGGTCACTTCTCTCAAAAAGGATTACTTATCTATCCACTTAACTGCTTAAACGCTTGATGCATTTTTCTCCTCTTGCATTATCCTCGCGTGGCAAAAAATTTTTTGGGCATTAGATTATCCTGTGATAGCAGTGTATCTAACGAAGGAACAAGCCATCATGCACCTTCTTTTATTGACAATAACATCATATGTATGCATCATCACGGTTTGTTTGACAAAACGCACGGTGCATCAGCGAATACCCTGGGAAATATACGTGTTTTAGATTTTTAGTAGTTCAAGTTTTCCTGAGTCGTAATTAATCAAGTATTCATTCTATATCTATTTCATTTTTGATGTGTGTGAGAAAAAGTTTGTTTGTTTGTTTCCAAAGATCTGCATATATAATCATCATAATGAATTTACATGTCTCGAAAAATGCGCGACAATTCATTTTTCTAACTCGTGTTATCTCATAGATTTCTTGTCGTTAGTATTTTTTTTAATGAGTCGGGAACTCTATATGTTGATCCCAAGAAAACTTTGACATCATTCACAAATACGTAAGAATTGATCTACCAAAAGTCTTCATATTAAAGCAATTTCTAAATTTAGACTGGTTAAATTAATTGATTGACCGATTCCCTGATCTCCTCATTATTACGGTGTGGAAAAAAGGAAAAAAGGTGTAAAATTTCTTCTTTATTAATTAAACATAACTTGAAAAAAAACAATAACTAAACATTGTTAAAAAGCACGTTGTTCGCCTTTTTTGGCGCCAGCTTACATTGAAGGGGGTTTCTTTATCTAAAATCGTTGTAAGAGCATCGAATTACTTTTTATGATTTTTTTTCAACATCTGGCTTTTTCTAGATGGATTTTTAGTTCTATGAAGAACGAATTGATAGATGAATAAACATTCTGTATAATGTTTATACAAGTGTACAATGAATTCGTCATAGAACCAAAATATCAATACATGATCATATAATGAATTAATTCATTATAGAAAAAAAAAATGAATTCATAATAATAAACATTATGATTATTAATGTTACCATTCTATTCTTATCCTGTTTATCAATCAATAGTAAAAAGAATTCTTATAGTCATGCATGAGTGAAAGACACGTAAATTTTTTTATTAAATCAAAATATAAAAAAATCAGCTGATAACAAAGAACTAAAGAACAACTGATAATTACTGCTGACTATTTCTTTTTTATTAATATTAAAAGTTACGTAACTTTCTAAAAAGAATAAATTTGATATATCTATTAAATTACTTATTTCCTAAATCATACCACAAAAAATCTCTGAAACCAATCTTCCTAACCCTTGAATCCAATGAATTTTATCGGGATATTGGTTACACATATAATCTTAATGAATTCCGAATCTAGATTTGTAGATTTCTGCATATATAAACATACCGATATACAAACACACTCCACATCCACGTAGACACGCGAAAAGGGGTAAAAGTATCACAGTTTGATAAGTATTGATTGGTTATTTAACTTTTTTTTGAGTCAGCCTATTTGAACAATAGGATTCTTTGAATTCAAAAATCAAATTTTCAATTGTCAGACAGAAAATATAAGGGAGGTTGTTTTAAGTTCCTTCATTCAGTGAGCTTTGACTATAGTATCCCGGATATTTACATTCTGCATTTATACCTTGCATAGAGGAATACACTGTATTCGGGTATTTTACAAAAATCAATACAGGGGTCACATCATTAATTAAAATTCAAGAGCGCAAAAGGCAAGCTATATAAATAATAATGTTCTATAGGGAAGCATACAGTTCTTAAATAAGAATAATTATGAAATCGCATTATAACAAGGAAATTAAATCTAATAAATTTTTCAATTTCCGATTTGACTAAACTCAACAAACAGCGAACCCTCTATGAATGCATGCACTATACACACCCTCCTAATAACACATTCTATCTCGGTCTATGTTTATAAGCTCTCTAAATATTAACTCTTAATAAATGCACACTCATGACTGATTAACGATATCAGTATAAACAAAGAAATAATTAGTCAAAAATTCGCTTACAAATTTTCTCAAGCATATTATTATATTAATTTTCTTTTCGCTTACAAATTTTCTCAAGCATATTATTACATTAATTTTCTTTTCGCTTACAACAAGAGCTTTGAGCGTTGTTATCTCGCTAGCTAGAATTTATTTTCTTTGTATTAATTAAATAAGCAAGTGAAATTGTATTTATTTAAAA